CACAAATCGGTGAGGACCAAACTGTATATATATTTTCGTAAAGCTGTGCATGGCACTCCCGCCGTGAATCGGCGTAAATTTAACACTATATATATATATATATATATATATATATACCCAGCGGTCTAGAAAATGGATAGCGAGCCATTCAAAATCATGGAATTTGTAATAAAGTAGAATAAGACGTAAAAAACATGTGAAAGAATTTTATAATGAAGGAAAAATCGGGACAACAAATTTTAGTCGTTTTACACACGCAATTTTGTATATTTTGGCGTTTTTAAGTGTTAATTTAAACGTGAGATCAGACAGGCTCGTGCGTACTGCTCTCATTGCGACCGGTTTTGCGCCACTGCTTATAGCGTCGTGAGCCATTGGCATTCTTCATCTTTGGGTCCCCAGCTGTGGAGTCGTATGGAGCCCGCAATGGCCAGGCAAGATGTCCTTTTTTCACGGATTGTCGCCAGATGGACGGTAGACGTTCACGCGGTACACAAATGAGCTTGCCATTTCCCTTTGTAATTTTTCTCACGGAGCACGTGAACTATAAATGATCCCCAGATGACTTTGTGTGCGCAAACTCCAGTCACATTTCAAACTATCCTTATGGAGCAGTGCAGATAAATCGGTAGGCGCTTAAGCTGATGATTCACTTACAGACTGATTTTTAGTACTTTTCACTCAAAAGATCCCGTAAAACTTCCAAAACACCCTCTAATTCACTATTGAAAAACCACTATTTATTGTTTACTTGAAACTTAGAACTGCAACGCGGTTAACCTTATGGTTACATTCAAGTCGCCACGAATATCATCGAAGTTTGCTATAAGTGTTATGCCAATCATCTACTGGTTCACTCAGCCTAACGAAGTTTTCGTATCAAAAGCGAAAAGGTGCCGAAAAATTATATCAACAGGTTGTTTTCAAATCCCTCTGTGATCCGAAAATGCAATGTAATTTTTACGTACATCGGTTATCATAACTGGAATGAACTAGGTTTTTTTCTTGTCGTCCCTTTCTCTTCTAACAGTTCACAAGTTTGTGGAGGATGTCCAGTGCTAGTGATGACATGAAAGGGGAATAGCAAGTGCGAGATGGCGTAACTGGCGTAAAATCTCAGTTAAAATTAGCACTGTTTGCGATGTCGACCGTGCTGTGCTTCATCCTTCTTTTCAACGAACCGGACGGCTTCTCACCCTTGTACACTGGTATCACTACAGTCGATGTAAACGCGGTGTTCGCACATGCGCCAGAGCTTAAGTAAGATTGCAGTAAACCGGCGCTTTCCGCACACACTTAACCGCTATGAAATCGCCCTCATCATCCTCGCCATTCTTTAGGCCAGCTAAAGAAGAGAAACACTTCAGTTGCGGGCCGCAATTTAGTTTTGACGAAATGACAACAAAAGCAAGTAACAATTCGTAATTACTATTATACAACGGGAATGAGCGGGGAACAAAGAAACTCATAAGGCAAAAGCCACTGGGGTAGACTCTTTCCTAATTTTATAAGTGTATCCAACTAGCCGTGCTTATCGTCCTTAGAACCGCAACCCAGCAGTCGGGAGGCAACAACTGAGGCAAAAAGCAAGGTGAGATCCTTCATTGCTCTCGGCCAAATCACAGACTAGCCTTCTGTTTTTCAATCCAGACCCTGGTTAAACAAACAACGCACCTGGACATCGGATCCAGCTGTGGTGCACTTGCCCTTCCAGTGTCATCAAGAAAACGGCAAATACGCCTGCAACTAAAATGGTGAACAGACGTAAGTTAAACTGTCAAAGCACCGCTGGTCGATTGCAATTAGCCTACTTACATCTGTAGTTCTAACGGGTCAGGTTTCACAACCATCGTGCAAAATCCACATATATCTCCTAACCCGTGATAACCTTCTTGCATGGAGACCAGAATCGGTTCCGGTAAACGCTCATCGACGAAGACTACACATCTTTCCTGAAAGTTGAATCGCATAATTTGTTCGATACGGACTCAGGATTGCAATTTCAATGAGCATTTGTAGCCTGCTCAAACAACTGGATGCTCAGTATAGCAACACTCAGGTACACGGACCAAAGGATAAAAATATGGCAAAAGACCCCACCGACAGTGGGATTTTAGCAAGTACACAGCGTCCTAATGGCCGTGAATCAAAAATTATGTTCGAGCCTAGATCAACATTCTGTATCTTAGAACAATATAAGCTCATTTTATACCTGCAGTTAATTAGAGCCACTCACAAGGTAACTCATTTCATCCGGTCGATCTTCCAGTGGCAATAATTTGAGTTCTGTTCTATAAATAAATAAATACTTTATTCTCGGAAGTGCGAGGCATGCCTGCAGAGGCATGATCATGATAATACAAACACGTATGGTCGGTAATTGTACAAAAATGTAGCAAGTTAACCGGTAATATACTGGATCTATGTGTGTACGTATATAGGTAAATGTAGGTGCAAGTGGACATGGTGAGTGAATTTGTTAATGTGATTCGCCAGTCCAGATCAATTATCCACTTGTTGTCATCGAATTGGGAATATCGATATGAGCAAGCAGAAGGTTGGCCCAGCGACACTGCTGTTCGCTCGATACTTAACACCACATTCTCCCTCTTTTGTCTTTTTCGTAGTTCTTGTCCTCGTCCACTGCGGGAGAGCTTGCAGTCTGTTCTGTGGCTGAACAGAAGCTGCACTGGACTGTTGCTGCATTCGGTATGAGGCGTATTTCTTCGAAGCAGCATTACATAGGGATCCTCATACGTCGCCTTGGCTTAGATAAGACGATTCTTTGCCTTCTTGAGAGCCTCCACCACAGCCTTCTCTTTCGGTTGTACCATCAAATCGTTCCCACTTTTGTGACAACCGTGTCATACTGCATTGCACTCCGATGCACTGTTTTTCGGACGGTGTACTCACGATGGCTCTTGAATCAAGCCTTGAAGATATTGGTGGTCCTTGAATTGGGGGTACATCAGAAATGCAATGCTAATCTGTTTGTTTTTCTAAGTTGTTTTGTCAAGGCTCATTGCGACTCTTGATGCCTTTCATCTTCGACTAAACGAATCTAGGCCGCTCGGCGGCAACGATTGGAAGAATACGATCGACTTTCCCAGTATTCTTCAAATCCTTTATTATTTTCGAGAGATCCGATTCATAATCAAAGAGATTCCAGGCCTCTATTATCCGCCTTGCTTCACTGCCGATGGAATATCTGAGCACTGCCTATTGGCATGACCTTGGATATTCACGCAACTGGATCAGCGCCACGAATTTCATCCAATTCGGTTTTCACGCTCTCCAGTTGTCTGGCACTGTGCTTTCTCTCATCTCTGTCGGGGTTGACAATGGGATCGGCGATTGCTCCTCAATGGCTAGCGGGCTTTGGCACGGCTACACCACTGTCACCATGTCGTAATGAACCACGGTGAATCAAAAACTATGCCCGAGCCTAGATCAACATTCGGTATCTTTGAAAAATACAAGTTCATTTTATACCTCCATCAAGTAGAGGCGCTAACAAATTGGCTCATTTCATATGGTTGATCCACCAGTGGCAATTACTTGAGTTTTGTTCTCGCCAGTCCAGATCAATTATTTACTTTCTGCCATCGATTTGGGGATATCGGGGAGAACAAGCAAAAGTCGGCCCAGGGCCATTGCTGCTCCCTCGACAGCTACCACCACACACAGTGGGGTCACATTCCTTGGGGCTTTACTTCGAGTGGCCTGGTGATTTCCACACTCAGAGTAAGCACAGCGAGCTCTGCTTTCCTATGTCCCATAATCTAGGGTTGTAGTGCCGAAGGTATTAATAGGCGCACTTCAAGGCACAAGGATGTAAGTTTCAAATTAAGCTATCTCGATGCGGGTAGTGTGAACCAACATGAAAACCGGTCATGGGCTGCAACGTCAAAAACTGGATAACAAACGACACATTTAGGAGTTGTACACGACATGTTTGTAAACGCATCCCGAATCCCGTGGTGAGATAAGACGCCGATCTCACCTTTGAATCAATGGTGTTTCAAGCCTTCTGTCAGCCCAGTCGCACGATTTTTAAAAATTACATGACTCAATCGTAGTGTGGTGGAATTCAGATTTTGTGGGAAATCCACAGAAGAGCGATGAGCGTAATGTTGCTCAATGTTTTCTAGTCTAGAATGAGATGTAAAATATCTGCAGCTAAATGGAAGTCTATGGACTGATTGAACCTCCACTCTACCTAAAGAGGAAAGGGAGAAAAGTTTTCAGAAACTTCATTAACGAATGATAGGTACAGTGGGGATTGTATCTTCTTAGCGTATTCTGTTGGAAGCAATTCATGAAAAATCAATCGGAGTCGGTCAGCTCATGTCAATGTCATTAAGTTACCAGGTTTAGTCGCTCTAGTACCAACCGCATTTTTCAAAAGGCGATGCAACGACTTCTTCTGTGTGTTGAGAAGCCAATTTACGACCGTCCTGGCAACCTCTGAGGGTGTGATTTCAGATCCACAAAACATTTGCATCAAAACGGATACAAGCCAATAGTCATTAAACAAATGAAACATTTACAATACAAAACGGTAAACACTGTGGTTCTACGGGACTCGAAATCTTTGCCACCTCCCGAGAAATTGATGCTTGCCGCCACGGATGGTGTCATTATGCGCCCCGACATTCGACGGGCGGCATCGGTGGCTTTATGACCCTTCACAGAATCAAGAAGACGAACCTGTGCGGTTGCAGTGAGGAAAATATGAACTTTACGTATTGCTGTTTCTAATGCTGGTCTCTGAGGGAATCATCGAACGAGTCAGCGTGGTTACTGGTAGCGGAAGCGAGCTAGCTACGGAACAAATCCCATCATAAGCATCTTCCCAATGGAGCAAATAACGCTCTTCGTAGCTGCCAATTCGTTCGCGATTTTCTGATGACTAGTGAGAACGGTTTCCGGAGTAATAATTTTGTGCATGGTCAATAAACCGAGAACACGAAATCGCTTGTTATAGAAAATTAAAATGTCAGCGATTAATTTATTTTGTGAGTTTGTAAAGGATAGCAAATGTCAAGTTGTAGGTGAACATTTCATGCAGGACGATGGCGCGATTGAAGCACACTTTTGACTTTGTGTCATCGTTGCTAGCGAGTTTGTTAAGTAGGTTTTACTCTCCAGACTGCTTCCGACTTCAGCGCCGTCTGCTAGTAGCTTTAAGTTCGCATCTGTAACGGGAGTGCACATTGTGCGTCCATGTGTTACACTTACCTAATCGGCGAAGGAACAGGAGCCGTTGTTCAGGTGAAGGTACGCTTTTCAGGCCTACAAAAGTTTCATTTTCCAATGCTGCTTTTTAAAAACTCACTAAAAGTAGAGGCAATTGACGGTGACGGTGACGGTGACGGTACGGGATGCAACGGCATGCAGTGTTGTACGCCATTCGAGGCACCGGAGCGTTTCGAATTCCTCAAAGTAGGATTGCTGTCGTCTCCTTGTGAAGTCATACGCGCTGAATGACAGCTGCGTAGTTAGTGTGTAGGGTAACAAAAACCACTTACACAGTAACGGCTGGAAGTGTAGAAAGGGGTACTACATCAACCGTCTCCTCCAGTGGCTCTGTGTCCAAGGAAGCCTCAATCAACCTCGCTCGTTTGAAACTAACTGTACAGCGTTAAACTCCTGAAAGTCCCTTACCGGTTCTCGCGATGACGGCAATCGGCATTATCTTGTCCTCCGGTCTTGGTGAGTTGTGTTCCCATACGAGTCTGTAGTACGTGTGATGAGGCACATTGGGGATAGCTGCCATGTGGCCACATTTTAGAAGCCAAGTGCTACTGATGATGGTTACGGGGCAGCCGTCATCGGCGAATATTCGAACTACGCAGTAGTGCCGTTCTTTAGTTGCATCTGAAAAAACACATGACATGCATTGACGAGCAAGGCAGAACAAGTGCAGACTCGAGAAAACAAAGCAAGAGTAGAGAGGTACGTATTGCGAACTGCCTCTGCGGAAACAGAATAGAACAATGCAGCAAAAATGTCTCTGATCGACTACCACACTGTATTCCCAAGGGAATAGTACGACATGGCCTAACCTTAAGTTTAGCCACAAAACGTGGGTATTAGAAACAGTGAAGCAGTTGCGGTAACGGATTGCGGACTGATAGATTATGTTCACTTGAGTTGATCAAAATTGGTACAAGCAACAAATTGTGGTGGATCGAGCCCCAAAAAAGACTATCATGAAAAATGGTAGCACAAACATCGAAGAAAAGCAATATCAAGAGGAAGAGAGAAAAAGTGAAAATGGACAGATTGAGGAATGGATGGACAGAGACCCGGCAGCGAGTGTAATGGCGCTAACGAGTTCGTGGATGCAACACATCCCTAGTGAAACCGATCTCGACCACATACAGTAAAGCAACGAATCAAACCCACTCGGCTGTACGCCAATTTACATCTCCTCAGTTCAAACAGACAACTACGATCCGAACAACGAACTGCGGTTGTCTGAGTTGCGACGACTCGCACCACCATGACAATGGTCAGATATCGAGGTTGAAAGCAAACAGGAAACAGAAAAAGAGAGTCAAGAAAGAAATGAGCAACATTTAACACAATGCAATAGCAGAAGGCAAGAAAGAGAATGCAAGAACGGCACCGACCACGTGACTGCGCCACGTCGTATAGGGTCTCCAACCGCTAAGGTAGACCATCCCGAGACTTCCATACAAGAAGGCGGTACGCACCAGACTGACAGTCTCCCGGTTAATTTCTTCAAGCCTTTAATGCCCCGTCGTCGACTAGCGCTCTCACAGGTTAGCTCAACTTGGTGCAACGACAATGGTTAAAGGGAATACGGGGGAGAAGACCTAGCAAACGTAAGCGGCTGAGCTTATGCCGACACTCGAGTAAGGCACCAGAGGGCTTGCTGCTTCAACGCCGTTTATTCGCTATGTCTACCAGATGTGAGCAAGAGTCATTATGGCCTTGTACCATTAGTAGACAGGTCCACTAAACGGAACAGCAGCAGTCAAAGCAGGCATGGCAACCAGTTGGCCGGCATGCTCCAAAAACTAGCGGAGGAGCTAAAACGAAGGACCCAGTTCGTTATACGACCTATTGCTAAAGATCAGCTGGCGAACTGCTACATTTCTTCTACCAGATGTGAGCGATACTTCGAGGACAGCTGCGATCAAACATGATAAGTTTCATCATATGATCAGCGTGTAGTGTCCACGCCTCCGATCCACACAGCGGCATCGGAAACAGCAAGCGTTGGACACCACACACTTAACTGACAGACTGATATTCCGAATTGAGTAGCAGATGGAAAGCAGCAAGAGACCTACCGGCGTGGACGGGAATATTGCTGATACGATCACCAGAACTGATACATTTACCTAGATACTTGATTCTATTTAATAGTTGGAGTGATTTTCAGTGATAGTGAGAACAAGTAGCTCTTTGACCAAGTCTTAAAACCGAAGTGTTTGTCGAAAAGCATAAAGATTTCCGTCAGCCTATCTAGTGACGTTGTCAAAGCAGATGGAGCCGACACCAGGAGCCAGGTCATCTAGCATGGTCAATAAGGAAGACGACGACAGAAGTGTATCAGTGATCTGAACTGAGGTTTCAAGGCTATACATCCATAAAAATCCTACTAACGAGGAGTAACGGTGCGTGACGAAAAGGGGATCACGATGTAAAACCTAGATGCACTAAACAAACATTCAGGATTATGGCATCGGCAACTTGTCGTCATCAAAAAGCCACAACCAGCTGGCCATCGTGAGAGGACAAGGCGACATCGATGAGACATCCTTGCGACTTGCAGTGCTCTGCAATAGAATCAATCTAACCCCATGGGCAATTCAGTATCAGACACACTATGAACAGACAGTCATGCTAGCAACCAAAACCATCGTTGGTGTAGTCTGAAAGTCATACTCCGTAAAGTTCCAAGCCAAGTACGGCATAACACATAAATCAATCAGAAGTCAAAATGGAGTAACAGCAATTAATCCAGTGATCATTTCACGTTTCTGGTACAACCATTGCCTATCCTCGAGCTTAAATGTCATCTCTGATCAGCTAAAGAGAACAAGACCTTCAAAGTTAGCGTCGAGCGGACATTTGCAACACTACCCTACAGAACTTATTCAGTCTGATTTGCTAACCTAAAAAGCAACCTGATCACGGCCACCAAAAACTCACCTGCAAACCTCAAAGTTGTAGACACGCTGATGCAATCCGACACCAGCAATGTCTGCATGTCGGAAGAAAAAAGTACCGCAGATTCATAAAGACTGGAAATATGTGAGCCGAGTTAAGCAATCACACCCGTCGCTTTCAATATAACTGCCAGGAAAGCTAAAGTGACCATCTATCTCAATTCCATCGTCGCAAGGAGCAGAAAACGATCAAGTAGCTAGTAAACTCGCAAAACGATCTGCATGTGCGAACAGCATGCCGAATGAAGAAACCACCCAAAGGAATGTATCAGAAGCTGACAGTGGCGAATGACGGTTGCCAAACAACAGAACGATGTTTAATTGGACTGGTCTTGGCAGTAAGTGAATGTCTTTGTCGTGAGACTCCATAATGAAGTCTGGTATAATAGTGAATAGAGATGGGGAAGAAGACAAAACTCGAGAACGCTACATTTCGGAAAGGCGTCCGAGAGATCAGATTCACCGCAACGACGTTGAACCTAATCGTGCGCTATGCTTGACAGTTTGTTAGCGCTCTGGTCGTCGCAGAACATGACCTACAGCGTCGTATCGTCTTCATCGAACGTAGTGGACAGAGGTGAGGATGCTGTTGTTTAAGCCCTCCCGTCTTCTTATCCCCACCTCTCACGCTTTTCTTCATTATAATATGATTCCAGCTTTACGTTTCCCCCCTCCTTCCAGCCCCTAATTACTGACCCTTCCAACGTGCCTTTTAGTTTCGACGAACAAACAACTGCGGAGTTAATGCTGCCCTGTTGTTAAATCCATATTCAGCCACGCGGAACACCAGTTCGTCCGCTTTCATTTGGAGCTCTCGGTCCTCGCTCAAGCTTCAACGTAGGCAGTTTGGTATAAAGCGCTTAACGGGCAGCACTTTTCCGAAAAGTAGAGACCCTATTGCTCGATACATGATGCTTGTGGAAAGTGACCAAGACTCAAGGTCCAAAGTCAACCTACGACCGCCTTCACGTGGGACTATCTCACTACGCCCATCCGGAGATAATGCAACTTAGACTGCCGATCAAGTTGATGTAGACATTGCTCTGATCTCCCTGCATGACACTGCTCTGGTCTAACAAATCCCAATTGGCTAATGGATATGCATTGTCCGACAGGCTTGCTCGTTCAATGCTTCGAAGTCATATGAGGCCAATAGATGTCTGATGGTCATTGCTGCCTACTCTCGCAAAACGATGACGCAAATTAAATAAAAGAGAACTCCTATCACTAACAGAACGAACTCCTTAGTCACAGCAGAAGTATGAATACTGCATTATTGGTTGGTGATCTGTAAGTCAAAGTTGGAAATTTGTCCAATGTACCTGGGCGGCGAATAAGGCCATCATCAGCATCATCATTGACAGCAGTACATCAACCATGTGAACTGATGCTTCGCTGCCATACAACCATGAGGACCTATGAAATAAAGAATAATAAGAGAAAGAGAAGGGGAGTTAATGCTCACAAAAAGCACTTAGGATCAAGGCGCCTAGAGCTAGTCAACAAAATACCGTCACAAACAGCTGTCGTGCAAACATAAAGCGGCATCATCGAAACAGCTTCCTTGCGGCTTCCACTGCCCCGCGTCCTAATTAGCCATTACCCCGTAGACAACTCAGCACCAAACACACTTTCAACAGGCAGTCCGACTACGAGACGGCAGCATACGCGCTATTGGTGTCGACTACGAGTCATGTCCTGTAAAGTCTAGAGCTAAGTACAAGACGAGTCATCTGGACTCCAGCCTGGAAGGCAAGACGGACCGAGGACACCAAGTTCGGTCGTCAGTGACTTCATTTCCCGCTGCCAAGTTAATTTCTGGCCACCTCTGGCCCTGCCCTACCATACATCTGGCAACCAAATGAAAGAAAGTCACACAGTTTTAAAAAAACGTGTTGGCCACGTTCATGTTCATCTGTCGAGTTGCAACAGTACTACCAAAGGAGACATTCGCTCTATTGTGAAGGACTGTATACTATTTTCAGAAACAACTGATCCTCCCAAAGCCCTTCAGGAAAGCGTTATTCGGTAGTTCCAAGCCGGGCATCCTCGGATCAACCGGATGAAAGTGTTTGCCCAAAGCCATGTGTACTGGCGCTTCATGGACACACAGCAAGAAGAACAAGCAAACGCTGCCAAAGTGCGACAAAAAACAGAGTCCTATTAAAGGCCAAAAGCTATTAAAACATGGTGCTGTATCCATGTTGAGTTCGCAGGACCGATCAACGGCCGAAGTTTCCTTATTATAGTCGACTCACAAAGCAAGTGGCCTGAAGTATTTCTCTTGAATAGCGCAACCACCAACGCCACTGTACCAAAACTGCGCCAAACTTTTGGCAGATTCCACTGTCCAGAGACCATTGTAACTGACAGTGGCACACAATTCATTTCGGCAACTTTTACGGAGTTGTGCAAGCAATGCGCCGTCCAACACAGCTCATCACCATTTCACCACAGTCGAATGGTCAGGCAGAAAGTTTTGTTGATACGTTCAAGTGAGCTGTCCACAAATCAAAAGGCAAAGGACGTATGGAGGAGGTGACTGACCGGTTCGTTTTACTCTACTGATCAACAAAGAATCCACAAGCGCCGGACGGTTCCACCAGCACATGCTATGATGAACAAGAAGATCCGTATGCCCTTGGATGCCATCCGACCGCGCTCAGGTCCCTCTGTTTGCGAAAGGAATTGCAGAATGGAACAAGACTTTAACCGACGGTATGGAGCAAAGTAACCATCGTTCACACCCGGACAGACAGTGCTAGTATGTGACTATCGGAAAGGCCAAGTGAAGTGCACGCCAAGGAGGGTCAAAAATATGCGCGGAAATGTCATGTATGACGTGATTGAGCGAACACATATCTGGGCACGGCATGCAAACCAGCTATGTCCAACGAAGTGCCAAGCAGAAGAAACAAGGATTGCTGATTTCCCGTTCGACTTATTCGTGGTAAGCTCCAAATTGCCAAAGGAGCCCGTGGGATACTGCTCTCAGTCAGGCAAGGAAACCAGAGCACAAACGCCGGAACCCACTTCTCAGGCATTTCAATTACGGAGATGGACCGACAGGCAGAGAACGCCGTCCCGAAGACTGTAAGTTAATCCCAGACTTTCGTCATATGCCACGGAAGCCATCTCAGTAAGGGTGTCCGCGAGAAGAGAAGAATTCCCGGAATATCCATTATTGCATCGATTAATCGATTTTTACCGATTAGAGCATCGATTTCGAACGTGCTGTTCGCGACTACCAAACTACTGAAGATCGGCCAAATCTATGTGGAACGACAAAACTTGGCAGTTGACTATCCTAGTTTAGAAGTCGAAGGTCAGTAAGGGACTTATACATACAGACAAGGTCTGCTGCATTTGTACAGTGTTTTGTTGACGGCGGTTAACACGTTATTTTGTCAAGGTTATTGGCGTTATGATTATTCCTTCGGTTTGGCTAGAAATTTGGTGGAGCAGTAAAGTGCCTATTTCGGAATCTCGTCAAGTGGGAAGATTATAACAACCATAGATTCTCAGATCAAAGGCGGTCAATCTCACTATCATATAGGAAGACGTCCTTCGCTGTAACCTTGTACATATGGCCTTTCAGACCGAGGGAAATCCACTTCTGACGCCAAAGATGTTGCAAGTTAAAGAGGGTTGCTCTAGTGTTCGCGATACGTAAAACAAATTCAGGAGCTACACCCCAATCGCTACTGATACAGTTGCCAATGATGGTGAGTTGTGTAATTGCCTCGAGTTCCTGGCTATTATGGATCAATAGATCATCAAAGCCTGGTGGTCCTGCAACAACATTTTGCAGTTTGAAGGTGGGAAGCGCATACCAAATGATGGGACCACTCTAGAGAGGCTGCTCAGAGTTAACTGGCTCAACGCAGCATAATTATTAAGTAGCAAGACCATACCGTCCGCATAATCAAGATCCACTAGCACTCCACCAGGCAGCACCTCAACGCCTGCATCGTTAGATTACGCAAGGGAGTTCACAGCAAAATTGGAAAAAGAGAGATTGGGTAATCCTGGTGAACGTCACTTGTTGGAAAGAATTCCGACAAGTTACTATAGGCTCTGACGCGACCTGTGGTCGAGTACAGCCAGTCGGAGGAAACCTCTTCGAGCCAAATACTATCCAACAAAGCAGACAAGATAGTCGGTAGCGAACCGCCGCCGCTACTTAACAACAAAGGTTGAAGGTCACTTGGCCCAAGAGCTTAGCTTCACTTCACTAGCACTAAATCGTGTTTGATTGCGTGGATGGTTGGACCTATTACGGTAACTTCCAGTTCGGTTCAGGTGAGCCAACCAACAACCCCGATGTACCAGGCCGGTTGAACTGACGTTCACAGTTCTCAGATCAGTTTTGTAGTCTAGAGTACTGAGAGTGAAGCAGCTGCACATCTTTTTCAGCTGATTGTTATAGACCCTTGTGAAGTGTTTCAGGACGTCGTGGGTTTTCGCCTGACAAGCGTTTTCCCTATAAAAAGCCACAAATGTCCATTTAAAAACACTGGACGTGGCGGATGTAACTCGCGACCAAATAGTCACTGCCTTTTGCATCACACTTGCAACTCACCCTACTTCACATGCCACTAATTCTGAAGCATACGCTCACATATGTTTAGATACCCTCGTGAAACATTTTCGATCCTTCATTGTCAATGGAGCACTAAATATTTTGCTTCTCACAAGTTCAATTTACATGTTCACGTTCTTGTATGTAAGCTACCTTGAACTTTGCGAAACGTCATTGCTTGTACAATTTTGATCATGCCCGGTTTGGCGTGCCTCGAAACATCCGAAAATAAAAGTTTATTTGTTGATTTCTTTATTTAAAGTAGCGTGCATGTAATCGCTTAGAAACAGAGCCATAACTACGGTACTGCAAAAAAACGATATTGTATCATGGTTACTTGGGCAACTCATGGATAAGTGAAGAAAATCATCCTGGGGTCCACCGCCCGCACCGCAAAAGTTAAACAGGAACACCAGCAAAAAAAGGCGCCAATTCAACACATGAAATACATTGATACACACTCACTTGCAGCATCTTCTATGGTGTTTATATTGTGCTCTAGCGTATGGTGCTGCAAGGTCACAGCTTCATGCGAAATATCCAATGGATCTGCAAGTTCATTCAATGTAGGCCAAAATATCCAACCTAGTTGCAAGTTCATGGATGGTCCAACAGTTTCCTTTACAAAGGGCTGAGGTTGAAGCTGCTTTCCTATGTCAAGTAGTTCAAGGGCTCGCTTTTTAGTCCATCGTTTTAACGTCCTTTTAGATGGCACTTTAAAGGAACAAGTACGGTACGTTGGCCGATAGCTCGTTTCATACTAAAAAAATAAAAGATTATTACGTAAAGAGAAGTGATTAAATCAACAGAGGTTACAATACTCAGAAGAGATAGCGTAAAAAACGAGTCGCGAAGACAAGCGTAGGCTGTAATAGTCCGAACAGGACGTGGAGTGACTACTACGAAATAAAAGAGAGAGGAAAAATAAACCATCGGGGGTCAAGTCTCAGCGGAGTCATGCGCCACAGCGATAGTGATACGGGCACTATGGTCATGTCCGGTTAATCATTCGTGATAAAAATCAAATCGCTACTAAGAGAACCATAGGGTTGAACGGCTGATGCATGCTGCTGATAAAACCCCGACAATCAAATGACTATTCCCTTGCTCCAAAGACACGAACGGTCTGGGAACTACGCGAAACACATGACAGGAAGTTGACGGGTGAAGTTTTTTATTACGAAGTCCAATTACATGAATGACAGAGGAACCCAATGAGACAGAGTTAATCGGGTGGTTCTTGGAGGTCTGCCAGCCCGTAGCCTTAAGGATCACAAGTCTGCCTTGTAATCTTAGGGCGCAGGTTCGAGCCTGCGTAGGGACCGGGCGACCCTCGTAGTATCCTTAGCCCACGTGCGACTGGTGGTGATTGCGCGGCAGCGAAGCATCGCGTACAGGTTCGCGGCTGATGTCTTATTGACTTCCTTGGAGGTCTCGAGCGGCGTTGACAAATGGCTTTAAATAAGGTGATCGGTTGGCCCTTGTGCACGAAGAGATTGTGGAAAGGCAAAGTATCCCGAGGGCCTGTAGAGCCTGTCAAGACGTTCGGGAGCCCCTTGACACGGTATGTAGACCAAGGTACATCTCCACTGATTGATAACGACAGTCAAGTTCATGTTTATAAAAAACCATCAGCAGTATGCCGGTATGTAGCAGCATCATCATCATTACACGTTAGCTGGAGGTGGAAAACATTTCAGCTATTGTGCCGCAATACAAACGACAAGAAAAGAAAAACAAACAGTAGCACGCCCGCTGAATCTCCAGTAACGGATGGACATGGTTCCGGAGAGCTAACAGCTGGCTGCCGTAAAAGAGAGTCGTATTATGCCTAACGATTGAGATCGTGATTGGAGAGGGATGGTAAACAGGAGGGGGATGGACAAAGGAACTCACAACACAAACGCCATTGGGGCCTGCTCTTCGCCATGTCAGCAAGTGTGTCCAAGCGAACGTGTTAACCGTCCTTAGGACCCCAGCCAGGCAGTCGGGATGCACCAACCGACGCCAACTTCGAAGTGAGGGTTTTCATTTCTCTCGACCAAGTCATCACTTGGCCTCCCCTCCTCCTCATCCAACCGCACCCACAACGCGCAAACAATGCACGTCGCGGAAGTCGGTGTGCTGGCATGCGCAACACGTGGCCCAGCCAGCGGAGCCTGGTGCGTGATATAATGGTGCTGAGCTCTTCACTCGCTCTTCCTGAACCAAATAGGCGACGTCGAACACGCTCATTGCTCACGCGGTGTTCCCACCAGACATCAGCTGAGCTGCGAAGGCAGCGATGATCGAATGTGACGAGCCTCTTCATGTCTGTCGACCTGATGGGTCAGGTTTCACAGCCATATAGGAGAGTTGAACGGACGGCTGCGTTGTAAACTCTGTCCTTCAGGGCGAGAGTAATGTCGCGTCTGCGCCACAGGTGGCGGAGATTGGCAAAAGCACCTCGAGCTTTTGCTATACGGTTCGTAACCTCATCTTCAATCCCACGGGTGCTAATATAGCTGCCGAGGTACTTGAATCTCTGAACGACTACCAGCAGACCACCACCAAGCGTTAGCGCAGGGTTGGGTCCCTGCCAATCTTGGAGAAGTACTTTGCATTTCGATGGTGCAAAGCATAGCCCAAAACGATTGACAGCCAGTGCTAATCGGTCCAGTGCTGTTTGGCATGTTTGGGAGCTGTCACAGATTAGGGCACTATCGTCCGCATACTCCAAGTCAAGAAGTCGCTCACCAGGAAGTAGCTCCACACCTTCGAGGTCGTGTCCAGCGAACGCTGTTTCCATGACTTCATCAGTAGCGAAGTTAAAGAGGAAAGGTGACAGCGGGCATCCTTGTCTCACACCACTGGTGATACTGAAGGGTAGAGAGAGTTTGCCATAAACCCTCACCCTGCCCGAACTATGTGCGTACAGCGCTTTGATAATCTTTACATATTTATCAGGCACACCTTTCCTCAGCAGACAGTCCCAAAGGCACCTTTGATGTCAAGAAACACGACAACGGTGGGTCGCCAATAAACATGGCGGTGCTCCAACACTTGACGCAATGTGAAGGTGTGGTCGATGCAGCCCCGACCTCGACGAAATCCGGCTTGCACTTCACGAATCTGGCTTTCACGAGTGCCACTCAGTCTGTGGAGAATAACAGAGGCAAGCAATTTAGAGGCAGTCGAAATCAGACTGATCACTCTATGATTGCCGCATTCTAAACGGGAGCCTCCCTTGAAAATTGGGACAATGACGGAGCGGTTCCAGTCTGTCGGGACTGTTTCCTGCTCCCAAAGTTTTACTAGCAACTCGTGTAGATCATCTACTAGAGCAGGTCCCCGGAATTCGAAGAGGGCTGAGGGAATTCTATCTGCCCCTGCGGCCTTGTGCAATTTCAACAACCAGATCTCACGTTCGACTGCTGCGCGTGAGGGCGGATCCAAGGAGACGGCCCAAGGAGAAGGGCGCTCAATGCCCGAAGAAGAAAGCGATAACTCAGGTTGGTTAAATAGAGTTGCAAAGCGTTCAGCCCAACGCTCCAAGCGTTTTGACAAGTTGTGGATCGGCTGCCCACTCTCGTCGCGTATGGTCTTGCTAACACCAGGTCTCCTGCTGCCTGTTTCCCGTATCGGACGGAATAACTTACAATGCTTACCAACGGCAGCTGCTGTTTCCATCTCAGAGGCATGATGAGACCACCAGGTTTCGCGGTCCTTCTTAAGACTAGCACGTAGTTTTGCCCTGAGATTTTTGCGAGCCTCATTGTATTCACTTCCAGCCGGAATACGTCGGTGAGCATCCGTAAGTTTCAGGGACTGTGTATAGACCCAATGTCCGGTTTGGCAATTTGCCTTGCTACATGAAGACATGCCTGCTAACAGCAACACTTGACGAATATGCGACCAGCGATCTTTAACGGTGTTTAATGGGAGCTTACTCAGCCCAGATGTCAGCGCACTTTGGTACACATTCAGAACATCTGGCTTCGTCAGCTGGCTGGTGTCAATCCGTTCACATCGACGTTGCGGACGTCCACCGAAACGCACCAGGAGGTCGGCACAGACAAGTGCATGGTCAGAGTCCACGCTCGTGCTCCAAATCGAGCGACAGTTTTGGACACAGCCTCTCCAGCGGTGACTGATCGCGATATGATCGATTTGCGTTCATGGCTGGCCCGAGGCTGCTGGCCGCCAAGTCACACTTCTGCGGCTGCTGTGTCGAAAGTTAGTGCTCGCGAGAAAGAGGCGAGCATCTTCACACAGCTGTAGCAATCGCTCACCATTATCATTACGGGAGCCCACACCATGTTGGCCGCCCAGATGAAGCTCATCAGAGGACAATTTACCGACTTGGGCGTTTAGATCGCCAGCCAACACCACAGTATCCGTGCTTCTTCTGTAACGAAGGAGCTCATGAAGTTGCTGGTAGAAATCATCTTTTACCGAATCAGTGCTACAGTTTGTAGGGGCGTAAGTCGCAATGACAAACAGGCACCGTTTGTCCCCGCGCAACTTCGTAGCACGGAACGAACCAGCTAATCTAACGGCGCACATCCTACTGTTTACTGGGATAAAATCAATCAGGGCAGCTTCAGCCCGGGGACTCAAAACAATGCCGACGCCAGCTTGACCGGCATTTGAAGCTGCGTCATCGCCAGACAGGCGCAATCAGAATGTGCCGCCAGTGTCGTATGTGGGGGATCTCAGGGTAAGCACGGAGCTCGAACCTTGCAGGCGGGTTTCAGATAAACAGCAATTATCGATCGATAGCGTCTCTAGTGTGCGAGCAAGTGCTGCCTGTTGGCCAATCTGTAGCAAAGTGCGCACGTTGAGGCATGCCATTCTTAACGAGACGCGAGGACTCCAAAGGGAAACGGATGAACTAACGTTGTCCGCTTGGTTGAACATGGACTTGTCGACTGGATTGGAGCGATGCCCTGCGACTATGTGTGATCTGAAATTAGAAGACAAGCGACTATTGAAGTAGGCTGGGGGAGGGCCAAGAATTGGGGGAATGAAAATGAGGGGAATATAAGTAAAGTTGGAGCAGGACGATAAGGATGAATAAGTGCAAGAAGGGGTATAAGAAGCCGGCATGTAGCACCGACGCTTCGTTATTACGCAACCAACACCCGTCGTGTGTGGGTCAAGGATACTGCGAGGATCACCGGGTACCTATGCAGGCTCGAGCCCGCGCCCTCCGATTATAAAGCAGGCTCAAACTCAGACGGAACTGAAAAAATGGGTGAACTCGGTGAGTGCCCCTTTCTGAACGGATCGCTTGACAATGAAATAATTAGGCGCCCCGAAGTCTTGAAGAGTCTCAAATGAAAAATCCGAATCCCACTCTAACCAGCTAATTACTGTCCACAGAGCCTGCACTAGCAGGTCTTGCGATACCGGTTATATGAAAAATAAAAAGTGACGGTAAAGAGGGAAGGTTACTAGAACGGTGGATAATAACAATGTGTGAAGGAAATCACAGAAAGCAGAATCCATGTAAGAGTGTGGGAGTTAGCAAGAAAAAGTTTGATGTTACCATTCTAAAGCTTTTGCCTGAAGCATGAAACTCTCAATCGTTCACTTCGTGACAACGTTTCCTAAAACCGATCTCCAGTGCTCGATAACGGCGTGACAAACGAAGTACCGTTCTAATTTGTCAGATCGCAGTTTATGCGGCTTCGTTGGGTGACTGAGGAAACCAGATAACCTGGAAGGACCAAATAGTACCAAATACCGAACGACGTCCACAAATAAAACAGAATAATGT